ATATATAATTGATGAGTAACAATTTTTTAAAAATTAAATTAATAATACTTAAATTTCGCTCTAACCCTTGACATTCATAGAACATCCTACAGCTATGATCATGATTGTTAAAATGACTATTTGTCCGTGAATAGTTTGCTTTCGGCTTGTCAAGCGAACGAGTCAAATACGAACACATTTTTTTATTTAAAATATAAAAGAGCTGAACACTAACAGTGATATTTTGTAATGAACCGAACACGAGCAAGACATAAGCTGAACCGAAACTTGCTCGTGTTCAACTCGTTTACAACCCTAACTAAATGATAACATTAATTATTGGAAAATTTTAATAATATGGTCTACAATTTTTGTATCTTTACATTAATTATTGGGTGTAAAAGAATTTTAACTTAGTGACACTTGTAATTTGAGCTTGAATTTGGTTAATTAATGTATTTGAATTTGAGCTCTAACTTAAATTCTACAAATTCAAGCCTAATATGAATAGAAAAGAAAATATTAATTTAAATTAGTATTATAATGAAATTATAAATAAAATGAAAATTATGAGATAATTAATAAAAAATAACTTCATATAAAATATAAAATATTATTTTTTAATATTTTTAATAATTTAAAGTCGAGCCCCCCTTCACCTTGATGAGCCTGTAAAAACGGCTCGTTGTTCGCGAACAGTTCGTGTTCGGCTCGTTAAGAAGCTCGTGTTCGGCTTGTTCGCTAAGTTAACGAGCTGAACACGAACAAGACGAACAAATATTTGTTTGTTCATGTTCGTCTCGTTTTGGCTTGAAATACTACTAATCAATTATATATATATCTTTGATGAGCGATCTTTTTTTAAAATGTAGTTGACTACAAGGCTACAAAAATTTATAATCAATTAAAAGTATTAATGAAGAAAATAGAATAAAAATTATTAAATTAGATTCAAATAATGTTTTAAATCTTGCCCAAATCCTTAACATCTGATGGCTATGTGATTAAGTTTGTCAAGATTACTCTTTGTTTGTGAACGACTCATGTTCGACTAGCTAAGTAAACGAGTCAAACACAAACACACTTTTTGAGCTCGAAATATAAACGAGTCGAACACGAGCTAAGCTTGGGCTCGCTCGTGTTTGGCTTGTTTACACCCATACCCTTTGATACTTGCACCCAAAATTTGATATTACACTTATGACTAGCTAGGGGAAAGTGCAAAATAACTCATAAATTACATTTTTGTGTTATGACTCAATTAATATTTGTTTATTCGAATTAAACTCATGTATTGCTCAAAATAAAAAATTATAAAAAATTAATAAATTAAATAATATGATTAGCTACTTAGAGGAAATATTTTAGAGATAGACGAGTAGGAAGCAAGGGTGCATGACAAGTTTTTTGGGGAGGGAGCGCGGCGGAAATATATTTTGCATTTAGCACTCACATAAATACCACCTAGTTCTTATGAATTTATATGTCCACCCAAAAAAAAAATTCAATTCCAATCCAAGCTAAATTTAATATTTTTCTTAAATGCAGCATAAAATTTAAATATATAAATATCTAATATTATTAATTTATTATTTAACATTTTTTACCTAAATCGAGTCGAACATGGATAAACAAAGATTCATTTGTCGTAGAGGCAGTGATTCAAAGGGTGAGCGAATCATGGAGGCAACGACTCGAAAGATGGGTGTGATGCAAAAGTAATGACCCGAAAGGGTCAGCGTTATGTCGAGGCGACAACCCCAAAGCATGGGAGTGTTGTAGAAGCAGTGACCCAAAAAATTGAGTATGATGTGTAGGCAATGCCCGAAATAGTGGGTGTGTAATGAAGACAGTGACCTAAAAGGGTGGGTGTGACGTGGAGGCAGCGCCTGAAGAGTGAGTATGCCGTGAAGGCAGTGACTTGAAGATGGTGTCGTAGAGATGGTGACCTGAAATGGTGGGTGTAACATAGAGGCAGTGACTCAAAGAGTAGGTGTGTCGTAGAGGCAGTGACATGAAGATGGGTGTGTCGTGGATGTAGTGACCCGAAATTGTTGGCGTGTCGTGGAGGCATCGACCTGAAATTTGGTATCATGGAGGCGGTGACCCGAAAGGGTGGGCAAGCCATGGAGAAAGTGGTCAAAAGGATGGAGGTGGTGACCCAAAAGAGTGGGCGCGCCATGGAGGCAGCGATCCGAAGAATAGGTAAGAATAGGGGTGTCGTGGAGGCAGCAACCACACCGGTTCGGCTTGATGTGCAAGCTGCCCCAAAATAGAAAACGTAGATGTCTGGAATGAGTGCATGTGGACAGTAACTCAAGTAAACTCAAACATCTAAGTCGTGATCATGCAGGATGTCATGTAAGAAACACTAATGCGCATGCAAAAAATGTACTATTCAAATTAAGTTGGATGTTTGACCTGCTGGGTCTGGGGTTGTCAACTCAGGGCAACGTAGCCAAAGGGCCGGATCGGGACGGTAGGTCGGACCAAGGTGATCGATCAACCAGATTGAGGTGGGCAGTCAGACCAAAGGGATCGGTCGACCCGATCGGAGCAGCCAATTATACCAAGGTGCCGGTCGACCAAGCCTAGCCATTGGTCAGACCAAAGTGATTTGTCGACCAAGAGGGAGCGGCTAATCAAACCACAAAAAATGTTGACCATCTAGGGCGGCAAGTCAAACCCAAGTGCAATGTGCAAAATATACCATGCAACATACATCACATTAAAACATGTTATACAATGCAATGATCGTGCACAATAACAAATCATGCTCATTCTAACGTACTCACATAAGAACCTAGGGTTTAGCTCTTTTATATGCGACATAGTTGCCTCTGGCTTTGGCAAGGAATGTGGAGAGCTTCATCCTCTGATTTCTCGTAGGAGAAGTCATTTACCGTTTGTATGACAGACTAGCTACCAAGTTTTTTCCATCCTACAAACCCTCCACGATCTTGTAGAATGGGCTAGCTACAAAGCTTTTCCCATTTTTCAAGATCAAACTATTCCAACCCCTCCATGAAAAGCTGGAAGTGCCAAAGTCGTGGGAAATTGGGATTCTAACCCACTAGGATTTTGGTCCAGGGTTTGCAATGGGAAAACTAGTCAGCTTCAAAAACGCTTTGGCTACGCACATGCTTTCTAACATATGGATCCCTCTAGAAAATAATTGACCAATCAATAGGTACATAGTCGTGCTGACATGTGTCAACCAACCAACTTGTCTAGCATGGGTGACCAAAACCCACTGCGACACACCACAAAGTCAGCTAATCAAAAAGCCTATGGTCGGATCCACTGAATCTTTCGGCCAATTGAATCATCCGATAACAGGAGATCGATTGAATTGAATGATACCAGGTGGCCAGTTAGACCTGCCTCGCATGAGCGACCAAACCCACAAACACCTACCAAAATCTATTATTATGACTAGCTAAGAAACCAAAAGACAAAGGGTTTTATGGAACCTCACCAATGTGGCACTTGATGACACGATTCTTCACGTAGGATGAAGCTCTCCCAGTTGTAGGAGAGATGGCGACGTTCTGAGCTTCAGCGAAGTTCTGGCGAAGCATTGGTAGTCCTTCCTTACGATAGGGTGAAGGTCTCCTTTGATGTAGGAGAGATGAAGTCTCGCTCCTTGCTAGCCACTCCTTCTCAAGAAGCTCTCCTCACACACTCAAAGAATGGTGGAGGAAGAAAGATTGCTTTTTTACGAAGGATGTAGAGGAAGAGGAAGAGGAAGAGGAGGGTTGTAAAAAAGAAGCCCTCTCCCTCACTTTTCTCTTTAGTTCTTCACCTCAAGGCCTTCAAGAAGAAACCTTAGCTCTAAGGAAGAAAAAGCTCCAAGGATGAAAAGGAGTTTAGCTCTTCGAGGAGTCAAGAAGTGCTAAAGGTTGTTGATAGAGAAGAGTGAGGTGGAGAATTTAAGTAAAACCAGCCGCCCCATGCAAAATCCCCAAAGTGCCCCTTAATTAAACCAAAAATGCTTAATCAAGGGCACTTTAGACATACAAAAAAGGGTTAATTTTCATAATCCCAAGGAGGCCTCTCCAAGTCCAAGGAGAGCCTGAAAAATTTGGCTCCATGTGGCACGCCGCCAGACAAAAATTTGAAACCTGAGTGTGGTCATGCTAGGCTCGGGCATGGTCAGATTGCTCTACCCGCGGGGACAGCGTGATCACACAAACTTTGTAGTGATATTAAACTAGGCTCATTGTATTGTGCATGGTCATGATGCCTTCAAGCATGGCAACGTTGAAGGTAGCCTTTGCACAACTATTGGGAGGTATGGTGTGGCCACATCATCCCACAGTGTAATTACGTCGTGAGCTCTGTCTTGCGGTGTGCGCACTTTGTCTTTGGGCATGGCTATGTCGAAAGCAACCCCTCAACCCTTATGGGGAGGGGTGCTCGACTTAGGCGTGGTTACGACAGACCCTTATGGGTCATGTTTCGTTCCAAGAGTTTGTTAAACACATTTTACAACACAAAAAGCTCTCCATGACTAAAACAGACCATATAGGCCTCATACTAATCGTTCGGCTTGCCACTAGAATAGAAAATCATTATGGATCAGTAGCAGTCATTATCAGGCACAACAAGGATGGGGTGACCCCAATCTGAAGACGTTGTACACTGGTAACGTCCCGATAGATTCCTTGAGTTGCGAGAGGACACGCGTGAGCACCACATGCTCCCACAACTTCACAGGGGAATCCAGTATTTGTCACATCAAAAATTGATGCAAATAAGGATCCTCTTGAAATTTGAAATTTTGAATTCAAATCGTCGCTATAGGAGTGTTATTATAGTAATACCCCGAGTCTTCTTAAAGTGAAAGTGCGTCTATTCAAATCTCTAGCAAGATTTTAGCCTTTATAAATATTGTTGGAGAGTTGTACCGTCATTCTTCTTTTTAGAATTTGCCTCTTTTTTTTTGGATCATAGCTTACGAGGAAGTTTGTCCCTCGCCGAACCTGCTAAGATAACCCAACGAAATATAGTAAGGGATTGTTTTTCTCACAATTTTGGGGCTGGCTCAGAGTTAAAGCATGTGGTTCTGAGGGAAATGTGTCTATGATAAGTTAATACTTTTCAAGGGGTGAAGGATAACGAGTCACCCAATACTTTTGTAGGAGAGATCTGTTACTATTATGATTAGTTAGGTTTGGCCTTTGCTTTCCTTTAAGCGAAGAATTTTAAGAAATCTTGAACTTCTATGGGTTGTTGATGACACATAATTGTACCGACACGATATCAATGTTAATGACGTGGTCGATGGACCTACAGTGGGCGATGGACCTACAGTGGGCGATGGACCTTTTTAGGGTTTAGATGACATTGAAGACTTATTCATATGGAAAAATAAATTTATTTCTTCAAAAGTGTATTTTCTTGGCCTCAATTTCTTCTTGGTCTAGCTTTATTTTATGCCCACCTACCGTAGTGGTTGAATCGAGCCCACTTGTCGAAGTGGCTGAATCGAGCCCACCTATCGAAGTGGATGATCCAAGCCCCACACCAAATTGGTTGCTCTAGTTCATTTCCATCTTCCTGAAGAGGACAATACAAACTCATCTCTATGAAAATAGTAATTCAAGAAAGTCATCATGACCGACCCGGAAATCTATTCATCTCCCATTTAAGGGTGTCGCTTGACAAGAGGGATTCAGTCCCTTCATCCAAACATCAGAGATGGTCGCCGTACCCATAATATCTGATATTAGCCGACAATGCCTCATAGTTAAGACGTTGGTCAAAGAAAAGTCAACAATAGAGTCCTTGATGTCCTACTTTGATAATTTATATTATTTTATTTCTCATGTCTAAAAGGGCCAACCTGAGGAAAGAGAAGCCTTCTCACGATTTCCCTCCTTTCTTTCCTCGTGTTACCTCTTTCCTGAAAGACTCAAAGTTCATGGTACAAAGACTTTTCGTTCACTTTGGCCGTTCCTTTGAAAGACTTTGTGATATGTGATCTCTTCCCTCTCACTCTCTTCTTATAACATTCTTCCCACATTATTAGGTCTTTGACCAAGCTTTATGTAACGAGACCTTAACAGCCGTTGAGCACATATGCTCCATGATCACAACCATTGTAGTCCAAATACAATTATTATGTTGAACAATTGTATTATAACTCCAATTTGAATAAATAATTTATAGTGAGATTTGTGAATGTGACGTCTAACTTATGTTAATATATAAAACAATAGACAATTTATTTTGTAGATAAAAGGTTATAAATAAAACAAACAATGACAATTCAATATACGGATCATCAATTTTAAATATCATATATTTATTTACCTCATCTTTTAAGGATTATCAACTTCTGAAGATCAAACACTTTTCAGCTTTAATTTCAACGTCTCTAACATGCTCTTAATGACAGCTTTTGGCCAGATAAAGGACAACAATTTGCAAATCAATAATAGCTAGTAAATAACTCCCCATCTTCAAAATAATACCAATAAGAATAAGGAAAATTCACATATATACCACTCACTTCGTTGATTTTACATTTCTGACACCTAAACTTCAATTTTTACAAACATCCCACCTTACCTATAGAAGAAAAAGATACATTTCACTTTTAAAAAGTTAAATATCATATACATACATACACACATTTCTTCTATATTTACATATCTAACATCCAAACTTTCATATTTACATACATAAAACTTAAAATCTATGCCATAACATCAAATATACCACTATCACTAACTTTTCTAAAGTGAAATACACATTTTCATGCATAACAAAGTGTTATAATTGTAACTAGGTCTAAGATACGTAAAATGCAAAATAATTGTGTGGCATGCATGTAAATTTCCCTAACAACAAATAAATATGCCATAAGCACGAAAATTACGAGCAAAAAATGCCCAAAAAAGCTTATATAAGATTTCCCTAAAAAACAAAACCATTATGCAATAAGCCAAATACCATCTCAAGTCTTGCACAGTCAATTTAAGACAAAAAAAACCAACTAAAATATCCAATGAAAAATAATTCAAAAGGTGCCCACCTAAAATCAAAATTTAAATATAATAACCTATAAAAGGCTATTTCTACGAATTTATTACATCCCATCAAAAAGCGAATAAGATTACAACTTTGATTTTACAACCAATATGTTCACCACCACACCACCAAAATGTATAGACTTCTACGACGTTTTCCACAGAGCTTCAGTTAGATCTTTCGTACAGGTTATAAACTATACCAACCCTCCTATGATAAACCTTCGTCATGCCACATTACCTCCATCTTACAAAACTGAACAAAGCTCCCATAAAAATCATCAAGATCATTTATCTTCATTTTCTTCAGGTTCTCGCTCGTGTTCAGAAGTCGTCATTTAACAGAGAGCTTGGGAATTATTCTCACAGTTCTAGAAATATTATGATTAATTTTCTAATGGATTCAAATCATCAACGACTTCCTGATTCTGTCTCAACATCTTTATTTTGATCTTCCACTTCAATGTTTATATTCGGTTCATTCGAATTTGTCCTCATACCATGTAGATTTTCCGATGCCGTTGACTCTCTCCATTCAATCCATTCAGGTGGTTTCATACTTTCACCCGATGGACTCGAGCTTTCATGATTCTTCTCCGTTAATGAGCCGTTACTGAAGCGTGTTGTTACAACATCCTGAAACTCGACGTTCGAAGTCAAGGTTTTTGGTGATGTTGGCATGTCAGCAAGCTCTTCACCCTCACCGACAACTACCTCATCAGTGTTGTCCGGATTCCGTGATGGCGATGTGGGGGAATCAGAAGAACGATCGTTTACAACTTGGACATCTTGGAAAGCAAAATAGTTCGAGTTTGTGAAAAGAGAGCTGCGGAGAGAGTGCAATCCATGAGGTCTAATAGAAATAAGGGACGTTTTCATGCATAACAAGCAATTCTCATGTATTTACATATCTAAAATTTAAACTTTCTACACTTATATAATCCAAACCTTTCATATCAAATAAAAAATATCACTATTTTAAATTAAAAGAGAAATACACATTTTCATGCATAGGTGAAATGTTGTGTATATATAAATTGAAATTTAGATGTTAGTTACGTAAATATATAAAAATTAAGAGTTATGTATGTAAATCATCTTAGAAATAATGAACGCAGATCATGCACGAATCAAATCAAAACCATTTGGTAAGAATTGTATATAAAAATTTGATAAAACGGGGTTTTATAAAACAAGTAGATTAGGAGGCAAGTTAATGGTTACCTATCCGGATCATCATCACCCAAACGCAGGGATGAAATTACAGCTTCAGCGCATTCATCATCAAAGTAAAAATCCTGTAGAATATATTAGTTTGATAAGTGAGTCCCGAAAAATGAAACAATTTATAAACAATATTGCAAAGTGCACTAAAACAGGTGAATGTCACCATTGAAACAATACAAAATAATGAAAATAATATGATTATAATTGAGTTGACAACCAAAGTAACCGAGTTTACTCGTCAATCACTTTATCAGATTTTAATTTATAACAGAGTATTTTACCGGGTCATTTATCGACAATATACAAGATTCCAGGGATATTTGATTAAAAATATAGCTCTGGATAGTCAGACAAGCGTTTTTGTTAGATAGGTCTCAAAGCCTATCTTGTTATAAATTTTGTTTGATTTTTAATGCAATGCGGTCATCTCAAACCAAATTCAACTGCTCTGAGACCCATCATAAACAAGATTTCGCCATAATATTAACACTCAAAAGTTTTTTTCCCAATACTCTGTGGAAGGAAAAACAACTTGAAGCAAATAAAAGTTGAAAATTCAGAGTGAAAATTCAAAGCATACATATGACATAGTTTTTTTTTTTTTTTTTTTTGCCCAAAGGCTAATATATTAAATAAAAATAAGGGTACACATAAATTTTGTGGAAGGTCCCAAACATGACACCCAACCCACACAAAACCACCAAATCAAAATCAAATCAAATGGTGAGAAAATACAACAAAATACATAAGAGATCTAAATAAAAAACTAAAAAGTGCCAAAATCTAAAAAATACAACAAAATACATAAGAGATCTAAATAAAAAACTAAAAAGTGCCAAAATTAGAGTATCAGGTAGCTGGAGAGCGACCCGATTTTGCCTTACCTCTGCCTCTAGTTAGTAGCTGGAGAGCGACCCGATTTTGCCTTGCCTCTGGCTCTAGTTCTAGAGAAGGAGCCAACTAATAAATTAGTCAGATGAGTGTCATTGTCAGTGATAACCATGTATCATCCAATAGATTCCCTAGCTCGAGTCGTCCTCCGTTCTTTTTCTTCCTCCTCGTATAGATCTGTCATTCCTCATCTGAAAATTGGCTCGCCTGATCAGCAGAATGGTCTGAAGTGTGCAAGATATGTGTAGGTTGTTGAGCATTAGAAGCGACTACTGCAACTACTTGTTGTACCAGCTGATCTTCTATTGGGTTGAAGGAGCACTCTCGTGTGTTTTGACGTGTAAGTGAGTCTTGTTCTTCAATAACAGTAAGTGGTATCAACACATTTGTATCTGAAGTGGTATCAACACATTTGGATCTGTACTTGTAGCAATGTGTTTTCTTCATCTGGAACTGCGATGTTGGAAAGAGGATGCGATTGGACCTTCTCAGCAAAGGTGGTAGGTGGCTGATCTTTAGCGACATTCGGTCTTAGATGAGAATGCAAGTGATAACAAATAGTAGAACTGTGACAAAACATACTACAATGAGAGCAATAAAGAGGATGTGATTATATCTCAATCTTTTGCCAATACCCGTTGTGAATAGTGTTGTTGCAATACCCGTTGTGAATAGTGTTAATTCATATCTCATCCGGAGCTGGTTGAGTGATATCTCTCTCAACTAACACAGAAGCCACAGAGGGTTTGGTGACAACATGCGTAGGGCTATCCACCTTGAGAGGCTTACCGTAAGCAGTTGCTAAAGAGTAAAGGATTTCCATGTGGAACAGATGTAATTTTAACCCTGGAAACTTTATCCAAACTGGAATGATAGGAGTTTCCACTTTTGGATCAAAACCGACAGTCCACTTCAGAATTTTCATAAAACAATTGTCGAACTTGATAATTTTTTTAGAGAAAATGTGAGTGTAATCGGCATCGTGAGATAACTGAATAAGTATATGTCGACCATCTAGCAGACCAATGTTCCAACTGCCCAATAGTTTTATAGCATCAAATTCTTTCCTAATGATCTCCAGTTTTGGAAGACCATAAAGGAATTTCCTCAGTAGAGCAAAACGCTAAGAGAACGCTAGAGTACCAGTTTCAACCTCAGTGAGAATAAGTGCAGGCATCCCACTTTTTTTTCCAAGCTTTTTAATAAAAGTGTGATCACTGCCACCTTCAATAGCCTCGTGATACGATTGTGGAACATTACAGAACTTACCGATAGCAAAAGCAGACTCTGAACCTGGAGGAGGGGCACGAGCAGGAATATGCAAGTCGTCGGCAAGGGCATTTGCATAGAAACGGAGCGTCGAGTCCATCTCCCTCACAAGATAAGCGAGGAAGCTGTTATAATCTAATACTCCCCTTCAAGCTAAAGCATAGATGTCAATCATGTTCAATTTGGACTTAAAGTCGTCGAAGAACGGACGTGGCAGATTCTTGGTGAGGATGCCCACTAGTTAACCCCTGAAGGGGGGGCTTTATGTGTCGTGAGGTCACCGAGGAGAAAATTGGGGAGGTGGTCAGATCACTTGCCAATAATTGGGTACCTGGCTATGATGGAGTTCCTGCCTCCTTTCTAAAGAATTTTTGGCCGTGGGTTAAAAAAAGTGGTGTGCAATCCATATTTCAATACTTCACCTCTGAGCGTACGGACAGTAGTTGCAAGGATACATTAATTGTTCTTATTCCAAAGGTTGTGAATGCGGATAAGCCTTCTAAATACCGCCCTATCAGCTTGTGTCAAACCATCTACAAGGTTGCAGCCTAAGTTCTGATGAATCTTAATAAAGGGGTTCTCCCCTCCATTTCAGAAGAACAAGGTGCATTTGTTCCCACCAGGTCCATCTCTACACATTGTTTGCTTGCTAACGAATTTATTTGCAGGTTCCAGCATTCCACTTCACAGGTTGGCTTTATGCTTCTTAAGGTTGATATGGAACAGGCCTATTATGACCGCCTGAGTTGGCAAACACTCTTGAGGTAATGCAGGCATTTGGCTTGCCTGAAAGGTTTACTGGTTGGGTTCTTGAATGTATCTGCGACCCAAAATTTGCCATCCTTATTAATGGTGATCGTGCCCCGTGGATCCATGCGGAATGTGCGTTTAGGCAAGAATGCCCGTTATCACCGTATCTCTTCATTCTCTGTTCTGAGCTCTTGTCGAGAGCGATTCACCGATGTGACACTCGATTTGGTCTTTCCTTTGCTCCGGGAGGTACTAATATTTTCCACCTCCTATTTGCTGATGATATCTTGATTGTTGTGGAGCTGATGATATCATGATTGTTGCGAAGGCCACTCCTAAGACTGCGAAGGCTATAAAGGATATATTGGATCAACACCGCTGTTGGAGGGAACAACGGGTTAATGAAGCCAAGTCTTCTATACTTTTTAGTAAAAAAAGCTGCAATTTGGAAGAAAAACCGTGTGGCTAGAATTCTGGGCTATAACAAAGTTACTGAGTTTGAATATTTAGGGATTAAGCTTGCTATAAGGAAGCTTGTAAAATCTGATTTCTACAAACTCATAGCTAATGCTGTTAGTAAAATCCAAGCACGGGTGAATAGACACCACCTCTCATTAGCTAGTAAAATCACTTTGGTGAACTTCTCGTGCTCCCTATGTCAATGTTTATCATATCTCACTCCGAACCTCCTAAAGCTGCATCGCATTATTTGGAAGTTTTATGCAGAAGATTCTTGTGGGACAAGGGCCCACGGGACCGTGAACTTCACTATATCAGTTGGGAGGAGCTCTGTAAGCCCACTTCTGACGGTGGTAGGGCTTGCATGCTGCGGCTCAGTGGATGGGCCCTTGCAGGCTAGAATTGCTTGGGACTTTATTAATCAACCACCACACGGCCTGGTTTTCAAATGTATAAGAGAGAAATATGGAGTTGATCCGCGGAGCTGTTCGCGGTCAAGAACTGACTTATTAGCCTGGAAAATAATAACCGATGGTGCCGCCAGCCTTCTTAACATAATTCAGTGGGACATTGGTGATGGTAGCTGTGGCTGCTATGGAGCCAAATAAGAGCCAAAAATTTTTGGTAAGTAAAAACATCCTCCCCCAAAATGTGATAGCCGAGAGGAAAAATTGTCACCTCCTTAGCTTTGCTTGCTCTATATATTTCAATCCAATGTCTTGAAACGGTTTTAGAACAATGTCTTTTTAACTACTATCTATCTCATAAATGGAGTTTCCTATAAAATTCACAAGTTTCAAACCCTCTAGCCGTTTTGATGTTATGTTTCCCTGTCAATCAGGTTTTCTCCACATTAGATCCCAAGTGTGCACTGCATTTGTTCGGAACACTGATCCTACTCGAAGCAGACTTGATTTTAGATCCATAAGGAACTCTGCAACTAAAAAGGGCATTAGTGCCTTGATCCCTATTTCTCTTGTTCGACCTCTACTGAGCGGGAGCTTGAGTATTGTCCCTTATCCTACTCCTATGGATGGTCCTCCCACTGTTCTAAGCATTTGGGAGTCCCATGTTCCGTTGAGTGCACCTCCTCACACTATCCATGTCTACACTCGGCGCACCCATCCTAATGCACCTACTCTACAGCCTGCAACCTCCTTGCAACACTTTGATTCCACCCCGGGCGACATCCTTAGTACGATCCCTCCTTCGAATGAGGTGAGTTCTCTAAGGTACGCAATTAGACATGCTCTCTCTATTCTATGGCAAAATATATGTTTTCACAGTTTATCGCCGACCTACAGAGCATATGTTTCTGCCCTGACGGACAATCAGTTATTTGTTACTATTGAGGTTGCTCTTGCTGATCCAACCCGAAAAACGATAGTAATGGAGGAGATGAATGCTCTTCAGCGAAGTCATGTGTTGGACGTCGTGGACCATTCTCAGGGTGAGAAAGCTATAGGGTGTCGATGGATTTTTAGCACCAAGTTCAACTCTAACAGATCCTTTGAACACAACAAGACAATAGTGATTGTCAAAGGATACTCTCAGACATACGGAGTTGACTATGAAGAGTCATTTGTTCCAGTGGCTAAGTTAAACACTATTCGGGTCATGTTGTCACTTGCGGTGAATATGGATTGGTCGTTATTCCAACTAGATGTCAAGAATGCATTCTTGAATGGAGAGTCGACAGAAGAGGTGTGCATGCCTCTCCCTCTGGGTTTTGATTCTACTACCTCTAGAGGACAAGTGTGCAGGCTATGGAAGTTCCTCTAGGGCTCAAATAGTTCCCAAGGGTCTGGTTCAATAAATTCACAAAGGTGGTCGTGGACCATAGTTTTATTCAGGCTCAATTGGATCCCACTTTCTTCTTCTGGCATTCTTCCAGTAGCCAGTGAACTATTCTTATAAACGTTAGCCACTGAGCAAGAATTCACTCAAAATAGAGTTGAAAACTCACAACCATTGTCGGTTCAAAGAACTTGAATAAGAATTTTGAATTGAGTTAAGATAAAGATGTAGAAGTTTTGAAAGATCACAATGACTTCTGATTTGTTTTTTAAAATGTAGACCCACCTCATTCGAGTGTGGTCATCAATTAAATCAAGAATCACCATTTATTAGTGTAACTGGAATGAGAAAGAAATGAGCGAAACTTGTTTAAGTATGAGGTGGGTAATGAACCCGGTGATGTTTGGCTAACAGACACATCTCACAAATGAAGCGAACGAAATTTTTATTAGAAAATATCAAATGATACAGAATTTTCAAATATGAAAAATTATGATGACCTAAACGACAATACAACAACAAAATGGAACATTTTATGATTTGAGAAAGGCTACAACTTTTGAGTGCCATGTCTTCACTCTTCGTGTTCTCCTCTTGAAAGTAGTAGAATCCAACTATTCTCTTAGCAGTTTCAATCATATTTCCCGAATGACGATCGAAAAAAACGCAACCATCAGATGAGAAATTAGCAACGCAATCGATATCACTTGTCAACTTGCTGACGGATAATAAAGTACATTGCAATCAGGAAACATATAAAACAGATTGTCGTTAGTACAATCTACCATTTATGAGCAATGAAGCTACAAGATCCATCGACAATTCTGATGATATTTTTTCTAGAGCAAGGGTAGAGAGTCGAGAAAGTTTGCAAGTAGTTAGTCATGGGATTCGTGTGACGCGGGGGTTTTCCTCCAAAAGTCAAACCAGTTTGGCTCGAACCGGTTCAGCTGAGAGGGAAAGTCAAATCAGTTTGGCTCGAACCGGTTCAGCTGAGAGGGAGCTGAACCGGTCCCCTCCCTCTCTCTTTTTATTGGGCAGGAATTTTCTCGCCTTCCTATTTTCATATCCTGCCCCTCCCATGTTTATTTATATGTGTTTTTAGGTCTTAGGATTTCAGTTTTATGTTATTTCTGATTTCAAATTTGTGAGCACAGCCTCCAACATCTTATTTTCTCTTTGAGGGTTGTATCTGATGGTTAGAGTCGTGTTTCAGTTATATTCCTGTCCCCGGTGGTGATTATCTTCTCCGACTTTCTTCCAACCCTTTCCCTATCGTTCCCCCTGTTGCAGCCCTCTCCCATGACCACCCCTGCTGCAGCCCTCTCCCGTGACCTGCTCTCCACAGCCATCCCCCGCTACGCCTTTCCTTCCTAAACTGCAAGCCTGCCCCAGCCGCCTGCTAGTTGGGCAGCAACTCCCCATCAATTCCACTGCAATAACTCCCCCATGCGCACTCCATCCAGGGCCCATCTTACCTGCCGAAACTCTCCCAGTTTTCCCGTGTATCGGGTCGCTGTTCCACTCCCCTTCCCTCCCACCAGCAGCCGCTCCTCCCGTGACAGCCCCAGCCCCTCCATTCCTCCCGTAACAGCACACCACCCAAACCCTTCCCGTTACAACCCCTCCCTTCCCATAACTCCTACCTCAGTCCACTACTCCCCCCATCTAACAGCCCAACAGCAGCCTTCACCCTTTCCTTCCCCGCTACCGTGACCTGCTCCCTGCAGCCATCCCACGCTACCCCTTTCCTTCCTAACCTGCAAGCCTGTCCAAGCCCCCTGTTAGCTGGACCGGAACTCCCCATCAATTCCACTACCGTAAATCCCGCAGGCGCACTCCATCCAAGGCCCATCATACCTGCCGTAACTCTCCCAGCTTTCCCCTGTATCGAGCCACTAACCTGCCGCAGGTCCACTTCCCTTCCCACCAGCAGCCCCTCCTCCCGTGACAGCACACCACCAAAACCCTTCCCGTGACAACCCCTGCCTTCCCATAACTCCTACCACAGTCCACCACTCCCCCATCTAACAGCCCAACAGCAGCCTTAACCCTTTCCTTCCCCACTACAGTCCAACACCAGAAGCCCAACAGCAGCCTTCGCCCTTTCCTTTCCCCCATTCCAGTCCAACCCTATGCAGCCAACCGCAGCGCTCCCTTTTTTCTTCCCCGCTGCAGTCTGAACGTACAGCCCCTCCTAACCTTCTTGCTGCAATCTCCCTCCACCCCACATACAACCGCAATGCCGCCAACCCGATCCACGCCCTAGCTTTGTGTTTGTACCTGTGTTTTCTTATTACTAGTATCATTTTTTTGTAATTCCTTGAAATTCAACAATAATATTTTTGTTTCCATCATGGTTTGGGTTTCCTCCGGTATCACCATGGCACCTGAATGAATAATCCACGCACTAGAGGAGAAATAAAATGTGAGAGCCATAGAAAGTACCTTGTTGGACGTGGGAGGTCGATTGACCCGCAAAAAATTGATTTGCTCCAAGAAGCTTGATCAATTGTTCCATATGATGTTTTAGGGATTTAGAAAATTTTGGAATGTTTCGGGTAGAAGTTAGTCGAGCCCCGTCTGGTTCGACTGTAGCCATCAGTCTATTGTTAACAAACAATTTAGCCGAAGGTTTGTATGCCGGCTTACCGTAAAGTTTCCAACACTTATCCCAAGTGTAGATGAGTTTGTGACAGCAATTACAAGTGGGGTGACCAGTCAGAGGTGGCATGGACGATGGTTGAGCACCATGTGAGATCAAGGTAGACGATTCAGCTGAAGGAGTAGAACTCTCAAGCATGACAAGTATCTTGATTTGTTCCTGACGAATCTCTGTGAAAGCAACACAAGTGGAAGGAAGGGAATCCTAACAAAAAATATGGCCCCGAACTTCGTCAAAGTCTTTGTTAGAATCTCAAGTGTAGTCGTAGTACAAGTCGCATTTCATCCATAATGCAACAAGGTCATTATAGTGTTGAATCACAGTTCTTGATCCATGTTCTTCTCCCGGTTCTTCTTAGATACCTCATAGAGTTGACCGTATATTCCTACATTCGAGTGGGTATCACGGATAACCGTCCAAAGAGCACTAGCAGAAGAGAGGAACATGTAAGAACGACCAATTGACATCTCCATGGAGTTGATCAACAATGACATAACCATTGAGTTCTCCACTTCCTAAGCTCAATATGTCGGGCAGATCTTTGGAGACTCACAAATCATACATGTGAGGTGACCAAACTTCCCAAGTCTTTTGATGAACAAAGAGACCACTGGGGCCATTAGAGGAAGCTACTGTCATTCAACGTATGATTTGTGATCAAGAAATTCATGTTTGCTTCAAGTCCATTGATATGCACGGTAGCGGGTGTTGGAGGCGATCCTCCAGTGGAGTCAAAAACACCTTCTGAAGGTGATTCATTGAACAATCAACCATAATTCCAACTGAGTCAAAAGATATGTTGTCGTGGTTCTGAGTCATCGATGAATTTTTGTAGAATCACGCAAACAGATACAACAACAAGAATTATAGGTAGCAGAACAATTGCAGGAATCCTTCCTACAGAACAATGACAACAGGAGCATAGGAAGCCGGCGGGCAAGCTGGGGCAGACCGACGGTGACACGCTAGGGCAAAGGAGCTCGGCTGCAAGAATTTGCAGGGAGGCTAGCAGTTGTACTGCACCACGGGATTCTGCAGACAGGAGGAATCCTGCAGTTTGCAGGAACCGGCAGGGGAGGCCGATGGCTAGGAGGAGGCAGTTGCTAGAACCGACAGAGGAGGCCAAGGGCTGCTGGATCTACGGTTAGGTTATGTGCTCATTTTTATTAAAAGGATGGGTACTTAAACACATTTATAATAGGATAATAAAAGAAAGAAATAAAACTAGAATAAGACAACTAGGAAAGAAAATAAAACAGAATAAAACAAAAAAGGAAGTTCATAATCAGGAAATAAGAGCAAATAATAAGTAATAACGACTTAGGGATAGCCATTATAATATAATAATAGACATATCTAATACATTAATTTTATATTTAGCTATAAAACACTCTAATCTCTAGATCATATTAAAAATACCCTAGCATCAACTTACGTAAAGTGAAATACACATTTTAATTCAAAGGTTGTGATGTGATATAAAGTATAAACACCAGGATATTATATAAATATAAATAAAGATTGAGGGAAAAAAACACCACAGGTAGGCACGTACCTCTTTTTCACGCTCAAGGGATCCCTGAGCCTGCATGCATTACCAAAAAAAATGAAAAAAATGAAATAAAAAAAAAACAAAATTAATCAACAGTACATGTAGACCTACATAGTTAAAAACAATTTGCAATTTAGAAACAAGGGAAGTCGGGGAAAAAAAAAATCAAATAAGATGGTTATATAAGCATTCCAAAGATTAGTGCTTGGCCAATAATCAAAACAGTAAAGCAGTTTGGTCCACACTTATATCATATCACAACAGAGGGGATTTCACATTTCAACAAATACATCATGTCATTTTAAGCATTAAAAAAAAAAAAAAAACTGCCCTAACACATTCCAACCAAAAACTAATAAAGCAACAGACAGCAGCTGCTGCTCGAAAGAGCTTAGGTACAAAAAAGATTCAAAGCTCCAAGAAAACAGGGCTGGCAAAAACATGGGCATCAAATTAAGAAAATTTTCTGGCCAATAAGGCTACCGTGAACCAAAATTAATGGGCTTTGAATTCAAGCAAACAAAATTACTATTCAAAATTATACAGAAAAATGTCAAAATAGCCACTCGACATTTTGCAGGGGTCAGTTTAATCCCAAACACTCTTAATATAAGCTTAAATAAAGAACTATTTCAGCCCCAATTTAAAGAAACTGGAGACTAATTTGGAACTTCTATAGACTTAAGACTAAAATAACCCCCTGTAAACAATCAGGGGACAAGTTTAGCACTACATATTAAATCAGCGGTAGAGTGGAGCATGGGCATATTTACAGTTCATGAGAATTAACAGAATGAGCAGAAAAACCAAAAGTTCTTTTCGCTGCTTGGAGATTTAAGTTCCAAACCCAGTTTCTAAGTGTCTTAACAAACTCTTGCAAATTAAGGTTGCATATAATAAGTAAAAAATCTATGACAGATTAATATATAATGGCTATAAAAAATAACATAGACGTCAAATTTGTAAAATAACTGGCTACCTACTAATAATTATCTGAAATTAAAGTACAACAGAAAGAATACAATCCACACCAAGAAAACTACATTGCAGAATTTGGATATTGTAGTTCATAAAAAACAAAAAAAATAAAAAAAATCTATGTTTATAACAACTAAAAGAATAAAGCAATTAGAAAAACCCAAACATTGCCACTTCAAAAGAAGAGTAGCCAAACCACAACAAATAAAGCATACCTCTTCAATGTCATTATTGTTATATATACTGTACCGAAATGCCTGGTTCAAGTTACTAGCCAATGCTGCCACGTCATAGTCAACTCTATCTCTAAAGTCTTCATCATCACTATCCCTTATTCGATCGTGCAATGAACTTGGACGCCTTTCAAAAAAGCATGACAAATTGAATTTATTATCAAATGATGGGCATTAAAAAAAAACAGCTGATCCGATAAATAGAGGAAATCTATGACATGATAGCCTCATTAACACCACATTTCAAAGTAGTGATTGCCTTGTTAGTAACGCAGCACGTGTTAGCAATCAAGATGACGAGCACCCAAATAAATTCAAAAACTTCAAGAATATCATAAGCAAACTAATACATATACATACATATATATATATATATATATCTGTGTCTCTCTATATACACACACACATATACAATATGTATATGTATATACATAAGCATATACATTTGGATATATATATATATATATATATATGCTCCTTTCTTCTTCTTTTTTTTAAATTAGAAAAATATGATTAGATATTTTAAAATTTTCAAAAAACTAAATAAGCAACTTAATTATGAAATTTTCCAAAACAAAAAAACTTAAAATCAAATAAAAAACTAAACTCATAAAACCTGATCTCCCTCAAGATATTCCAACCCATAAATCTATTATATTCTAATACGTTTCAAATTTTATATAAAATGGTTAAAATATCAAAATAATCACTAAAATTATAAAAATAAATAAAAATTGTGTAATATAAAATAAATCTTGATGCCCTGGATATTTCAGTTGACCAATTTTAACCACAATATTGTGTTGGCCTATGTATATATATTATACAAGAGGAGTCAATTAAACATGATGAGAAGAATGAATGATAAATCCATCATCATGCAGATTAAGGTCAAAATAATTCATTCATGCCCAAAATCACATGAAATATTGCCCATTTATGAAACAAAATTCACTGATGTGTTCAGAGCGCTAAACTACTTAGAAAAATCGCTCGACAAATATGAAGGTATACAAAGTTGAGCCAGATTCCTATAAGTGTTGTCGAGGCTGCCCAAGCAACCTCCGTTCATAAAATAAATCATGTCATTGCATTCAAAATATCAAATTATCCAAAAGGAAATTTTCCATGACAAATTTTATTGATTCTGGAGAAATGACAGATTACGAATGCAACATGCATGAAATAGGCCCAAATTCATAGATCGTCATCAAAAGTGCTTGAACAACATCCGTTCATGAAATTGATTATGTCAGCATGTTAGGAGAATCCAATTTGCCTAAGAAATGACATTTTGTAATCAATTGGATCAGACATAATTGAAATGACAACCTAAAGATGCACGTCGCGTGAATTAAGACAATAATTTCGACGATCGCCAAAATTGCTCAAACAATGTCTGACCACAAAACGAACTACATAAGCATATCAGGGATGTTGAAATTGCCTGGAAAGGATATGCATATTATATGTGATTTAGAATGCGATTCGGCAACACTTAAATCGAGGCACATGAAATTAGAGAAATCTCATATTGCTCAAATAACCTTCGTTTGTGAAGCAAATTGCACAAGCACATTTGGAACTCGAGAATTAAAAACATGCAAATTGACATGCAAAATTTAAGAATTTAAGTATATTAAAAAAAAATTTAAATAAAGCTATATATATATTAAAACAGCCCTGTCCTTGCAGCCGCCTCCAGTGGCCCATACCTCTCCCATGTTTCATCGTCCTCTCCAATCAAAATCATGTAAAGCCTTGAGATTCCTCAGTCAGCAGAAAAAAATTAAAAAAAGAAAATGATAAACAAAATCTAATCTCACCTATTTCTTATAAACTTATTGTGTGTCTCCTTCTATGATACCGGAGGAAGCCCAAACAACAATAGAAATAATAATATTATTGTTGATTTTCAAAGATTATAACAGGACTCCTCAAAATAGGAAAAAAATAACAATAAAACAACAACACAAACTCCAAGAAGGGCTGCAGAAAGATAAAATGTCTCTTTCGGGTCGAGCTACAGCAGGAGCACCACCCGAACCCTTCGAAATGTTCACTTTCTCGGACCACTTACAGCCTGAGCACCTTCTCGCAATCGGATACAGGCCCCAGAGGTGAAGAATGTCTCAAAGACAGCACTCAGAATTCTGCACTCATCCAAATCTCATTTCCTAAGCAAAAACAACCCCTATATATAAGAAGGATTAGGACTTATATTAGAAAATTTTTCAGTTTGGAAATAGAAAAAAATAATAATAATATAATCGAAAGGATTTATAATAGGGGATTTCATGATAAGTAAAGAAATAGAGAATGCAGACATAAAATAGATAGGAAATAAAAAAGGAGACTCATAGAAAATGAAAAGAAGAGATAGGGAAATGAAAAAAGAAAGGGGAGGAAATTTGGACCGCGGCACTGTAGCTGCTACAGTTCCACAACACGAAAAAATCTCCCGCATCAATCTCCCGGGGTTGGGAAGCTTCGACCTCATTCGTCAAAGCTTTAGGGTAGAAAAATTCTAGTGGGGGTGATTTGGGCAAGGGCAGGTCTAGGAAACCCTAAAATAGGACTAAGTTTTGGCTGACTACGATATCAAATGATGGATTTAACTGAAACCATGATGTAAGACACGAATTTATTAATAACTTAAAAATACGGTTACAATAATGACTCGAAAGAAAAACATCACATAAATCAGAACATAAAACAAAGCATTCAAACAAAGACTCAAGAAACAAAACGCAACAATCTCGACGAGGAAGTTCGAAGAGATGAGGTTGTAGCAGGCGGCAAAAGCCGAGGAGGGGAGACACTAATGGCAGCCGAAGCCGAGGAGCGGAGGCAGTGTACTGAACAAGGAGAGTGCAGTGGGAGGCGCTGGGGGTGGCCTAAGGTGGGTCGCGGCCTACGGGTAAGGAGGCGGCTGCAGACTGGACTCCAGAGAGAGGGTTGTAGGATGGCAGTGCGCTGGAATAGGAGGGAGGCAGGGAAGCTACCGGTTGGACTGCTAGAAGAGTTGGAATGTCGGCAAGGCTGCAGCAAAGCAAGAGACTGCAGGCGGGATGTTGGTCTAGGAGGACAGCAGGTTGTGATGACTTGTCCGAAGACTGCAGGGAGGTTGGTGGTTGGACTGCTGGAAGCGTTGGAACGTTTGCAAGCTGCAGAATAGTCGAAAGTAGTCGAAACGGCGAAGATAAACACCACCTCGGACGGGGGTTTCAGCTGGAGCACTTTCCTCGTCGTTAGATACAACCCTCAAGAGGAAAACACTCGGATAAAACTGAATTCAGATTTCAAAATCAACACCCTTGATCCTAGATGCATAAACTTCTATTTATAAAAGACTTGACCCAACTTAGAAAACAATTAAATTAAGAAAGGAGAATAAAAATAAAATCAGGATCTCAGATTTAAGAAAAATTAAATCAGATTTTAGAGTTTTAGGAATGGTTTTAAATTAGAAGGAATAAAATCAGATCTTTAATTTAGAAAGTTTTTGGAATTAGTAAAGGTCTAGGAAGGGAGGACAGGCAAGGGAGGAAAAAAAAAGGCAAGAAGAAGATTGGAGAAAAGGAAGAAGGGGCGATGGGGCTCTCTCTAAGAGGGGCCCTGTGTCAGTCTCCCAGGGTTGGTAGAGCTTCGACCTCAACTGTCGAAGCTTTTGGATCCTCAAACTAAGGAGTGAGATCTACAACATTGAATGTGGCAGAAATCTTGTGTGTTGTCGTTGAGTTATCGCATAATTCTGAATGGTCCGTCTGCTCTAGGTTTCAGTTTTCCGAAAGCTCCTACGGAGAATCGTTACATTTTCAACGAATACAGAAGAAGTTGCCCTCTTTGAATGTCATCGTTCCTTGATTTATTTGCTTATGTTTGATATTTTCTATTTTGTCTGGCAATCTCTTTGCCAACCTCTTCATGTATTTGTTGGATTTCGTGAACCCGTTATGTAGCATCTTGGCTGAGTTCCAACGTTGGTAGGAGTGGAACCAGATCAAGTTGTGTGAGTGGATTATGGTCGTAAACAAGCTCAAATGGACTGTGTCCCGTTATCCAACTTGTGGATGTGTGTCGGTCAACTTTTTCGATTGATTAGATTTATTTGAAAAATATGATATATGAAAATAATTTTTGAGATTTAATTTAAATATAAAAGATATATAGTTTGGGTTTTGAAAGTAGTGTTTTAGTTTTTGACAAATGAGACCAAATGGATCTCATTCGTCCAATAGTTTGCATAATCGTGTCTGATACCGCGAATACTACACCCTCCCGAAAGATAAATGTAGACCTCGGCGATAGACCCAATCCAGCAAACTAAGAGATTTGTGACATCCGTTTAGTCTGCGAACCTTTTATATATGACCGACAAGTTCCCCTATTTAATACAAAGATTAAATAGGGTTTATTTTATCTGGGTTCCAAGTTCCCTATAGAGGCAAGCCCCTATAGTTAATTACATCCCAAATGACGGGAATCATTTGAAAAAACTCTCGATAATGATCAATGGTTCTAGTCTTCAAGAATTCAAGGTTCAGGTTTTCAAGGTAGGACGTAGAAGGGCAAATGGGAGTGGCTCAAACATGAACAGTTATTTCAGGAGTCCAA